CAGCACCAACAATTATCCTAGTACTCTTTAATATTAATCATCGGTAATAGTAGTTGTGTGTAACACTAACAATAGTTACGACCATAATAATAGTAACAATAATGGTAATGATGCGTTACTATACTATGCTGAACAGTAGAAATAAGAATTGTATTACTGCGATAGAAAGCAGTAGAGAGAGTGGCAATAGTAGAAGCTGAAACAGCGATAGTAACCAGCGTTAGTAGTAGCAAAATGTAAGAGCAGCTAAATATAACGAGAAATAAGATTAGAATCGATAGTAGTAGCCACGGCTGCAATAGAAATCAAACGAAATGAATGGCAGCAATAGCAGCAACAATAATCGCAAAAATGTTGATAATCCTCACAGCGATAATATGAGTACAAAGGTGTCAATTGTAGTAGTAGCAAAGGCAGTAATAATAATAGTGGTAACATTATCATTACTCTATTATCACATTACACAATATTGCCGCTATTACTATCATTGTCGCGCCACTACTATCGTTGTAATTGCTATAACTACAGATTATCATTCCTTTCATTTGCAACCTCGTTGAAATTACAACTTACTTCTTTTAATACTGCTGTTAGAACTATTGTTGCCGCTCATACTATTACCACTTCGATTGCTATATTTGTTACACGATTGCTAGCGTTATCTTTATCTTTTTTTTTTCATTTTTTTAACCATCATTATTTATTATCATCATAGCTATTGTTGTTGCTGTTATTAAGTGTTATAAATATTATCTATCACTTAGCATTACTATTATTATTACTGTTACTACTATTAATTCCACTACTATTGCTGCTACTTGCTACTACTACCACTAACTGAACCTATTTAGTTCTACGACTACTTCTACTATTATTATTATTTATTATTATTGTTGTTACAATTCAGCGATTCCACCGTGGAACCTGAGTAATCTGGATAGAAGCTTAGTGTCAACTAATTTCGATGAATCGTAGAGGCAGCTTTTTCCAAGCATTAAGATATAAAATTTGTGAATTATACGTGTATTATTGAATCACCTGAAATCACACACACGGTATTCAGTTAAGCATATAGGTGAAATCTGAGTTGCGAAACTGAACGTAAGTCTTCGGATTGAATTGCCATAAATAGAAAGAGTCAACTAACGAAAATGCACTCCCGCCCTTCTAGTATGTCAAAATAAGAAAGAAACCCTTTAGATCCATTGTTAACTACCTTCGTTGGAATAAGATAATAACAATTTCGTCTTTTTACTTTCTTCTCCTTTATTTTTTCTAAGACAGTTACGCGATGTTGTACGCTTCAAGTTGTAGGGTCAACTATTCATCAGCTTGTTTAAAAAATTGTCTAATAATTTATTTAATACGCGAATATTCTTATGTTAACAATGAATGTTAATGTAATAGAGAAATATCGATAAGCGTATTCGAAAATATTACGAAATGAACATAGCAGATATATTTCAATAAATTTTCACCCATTTTAGTTGCGTCAAAGTTAAATATATATGTAGTACATAGATTTTCGTAAAAAACGAAGACATTTTCTACTAATTGTAAGCCAAATACTGTCCATCTCACTTAATAAAGCTATATTAAACAGAAAATTCGATTAAAAGAAGAAAAAAGGAAAACGAACTAAAATTTCATCGTTCGCGATCGAATATTATGAATGTTAGTCTACCATAATACCTAACGTCGTCTCGTAAAATGTTCGCTTTTTATTCCTAACGTCAGTAGTTAATTACAAACATTTCCTAACATCGATCCTCTTTGGTTTACCAAACATACTATTCGACATTTGTTTGTATGTATTTTAAGTAGTTCTCTACCTACTTACACACTTTATCGATAAACAGTGTGCAAATAAATTCATTAAGTCTTATAATTTTTTGAATAATCATAGAATTCTAACGTATCCATTCCTCGAATTTTTGATTTTTTCTTCTTTTTTTCCTTTTTTAATGAATTAAATCCTTAAACATTTCAGGTAGTCCCAAAACTAAATTTATTAGGACCCTTTTGATCCCTTCATTTGTTTCATTATTATACGAGAAACCTAACCTTCTGATTTAGGAAATCGATCTACGGATAGTTTGATTACTTATCATAGTTTTTAATGACTCGAATTCATTAACCTTTGAGGAATACTCGTTATGCATATATATGTTTATGTTTATATATATATATATGTGTGTGTATATATATATATATATATATATCGATAAAACTTAGAACACACAGAATGACTTAAATATCTGTAACACGCAAAATGCTAAAAAGTCATGAAAAATAATCAAATCCCAGAAGATCAAGAAAATCTCACGTTAATTATTTGAAATGCATCGGCACTTGAGAGAGATTGACCTTTAAACCTTTATGTAGGTACACACGTTATGCGTATGTTCACGGCAAGATCTATGGATCTGCTTTTAACAGCAGACTCGAGAGAAAAAAACAGAAAAGAACTTTTTCTTTAGTCTCGCGGCTGAACAAGACCGAGAAGATCTGAGGGCGTTGGATATATATTTCAGAGATATATCAGAATGTTGGAAAGAAAATATTGTGCAATGAATACTAAACACTCTTTTTCCCATCGGTATGGTTATCAGTCCATTCAGGTACCTTTGACGTTGAAAACATACACATACACACATGCGCGCTCGCTCGCTCGCTCATTCGCGCGCGCGCGCGCGCGCAATCACATTCCCTTGCACACGTAGGCATGCACGCATAAACTTCACATGACACGCGCGTGCGCGCGCACGCAACGGAGGGGCAGAGGGAATGAACTCATTTTTACCCCTTCCTTTAACCGAACCTCCTCCCAATGGTCCAATCAGAACTTCAAAACATTATATTCATCAACGTCTGTTTTTTGTTCTATCGAATTTTCGAGATTCACTTCTTGTTTAGGTGTGAGATATATAGTGACGAAGTAAAGTATCGGTCGTGCTCGATCACGAACAACGAAAGATAATCAAACGGGCAAAACGAATGCCCGGTCAAGTCATTTCCAAATTTAAATGCAATCTTTGTATCATATATGTACATACTGAAAAATTAAACTACATTTATATCTTTCTATATCTTGTATATATAATTATTTGTAACGTTGAAGAACAGAAAAGAATATGTAATAAAGAGGAAAGTTAAAAGCGTAACAAACAAATAAACAGAAAATTGTTACGACGCTCGTTCTATCCTTCCTTTTTTCAGAATCAACATTTTTCTGCTGTTTGTTCAAGCAGGTATCTAGTATAGTAAGACTCATTAATTGCACAGAGTTATTGACACAGTCCAGCAAATTAAGCTTTAACGAGAATGGCGGAAACGCCCGCCATTGTAATTGCAAGACAATCAAATGTTACACAAATGCGAACTTAGAATCAGTATCTGCATGAAAGTTCCAGTTCCCTCACTTTTTGGGCAATCTTTTATGAAATCAGTAAAATTTTAATCATTCGCATCCATTTCATTCAGTCATTCGTAATTTATTTACAAATCATTCGTGAATCCTTCTTTAACATAGTCGCAAAGCCAAAATTGTCAAACTATTTACACAATCATCTGGCCTGCGATAAATTTCCTTTCGAAACTTGTATGATTTCGATTTATGTTTTAATTAATCCCAATCAACAAAACTAACAGAGAATTGAATTTACAAAAACGAAATCCTATCACTTATCAAATGCGAGAAAAGAATATAAATAACAATTGAAGTCTTCATAGTTTCCATTCTATCATAATAAAAGAAACGTTTAATAGATATCTAACACATTTTTGTCATAAAAATAAATCATGTCCAGGAACTGCACTAACATTGTACTATAATACTCAAACGATATTTGACTCCGGTTATTTTCTAGATGATAATACCATTTTACTACTACGATATTGTCTAACTTTTAGCTTTGGGAGGGAATCTGAAAGGTCTAACAATGAATTTAATTACGAAATATAGAGCGATATAAAAATAAAGACGTATATAAATATAGTATACGTATTATGTGGTGCTGGAAAGCTGGCATGCTCTGATGCTTCCAAAGCTTTTAGATGCTTGGCGGCATTAGTAGTATTTTAGATCGTTTGGTGAAGTCTATTCTACACCAACGTTTTGAAGTTTGTCGCGTTGCATACGTGCTAAATATATGTCATTTGAATAGATGTTAAATAAAACACTAGTCAATAACGAAAATTCGTGTAGCCTGCCTCTGTGACTGCGCGTCATGACTAATCCAATCGCATTGCATCGCGCATTCCTTCTGCGCATCAACGTTCTAGCAATACGCAATATGAGCACACGATAATCTCGAATCCATAAATAACAACTTTTCTGAGAATGTCTACGCTAACCACATCCTAAATTAAATTATTTTATTTTTGTGTTTGCAAATATCATCAGCATGATAGAGAGCATTATTATATAACTCAAAATAATTTGATCAAGGCTGATAAGAATAACACAAATTTTAAAAGTTTCATCATTTTTGCAACGAAAACGATATCTAATTGTCCATTCATTCAAAGTGTAAAAGAACTTAAAATATTTTTAGTATAAATAATTGAAGAATATATATAGTAGATTTCACCCATGTATAGAGCAATTAATGAGTCTCTATTATACAATATAAAGTACTAGGTATGCTATTAATAATAGATTAATATCGTTACAATTTTTCTATGCCTTTTAATCGATGTCACTAAATATTATTTAGCACTTAAAATATCTTCTATTTTATATATATAATAACTGGAAAGAGAACTAATATTACACAATATGTTACTAGACTAAAAATCACGCATAAATACTACCGTATCGTTTGCTGAATTTAAACTGAAATAGATAGAAGAATAATATTGTCTGTCTGAAAAAAGTATTGAGACAGTGTAGTAAGTAAGTTATCATTGAAAAATTGTCTCAGATTGTCAAGTTACCAACTATAGATTCTATAGATAAAACTATAGATAGATAGTAAAAGAAAAACTCAAAATTTGTAAAATAGAAATTTTGCGTCACTGTATAATTGGAAATACCATTCACTCGAAAATTCGAAGTCATTCTGAAAACTTTAATTAGGATCTCAGCTTTCTTAAATGCTTTTCTTTTTTGTCTCTTAATATTAACCAATGGGAAGTGGCATATTCTTCTCCTCAGTATCGTTCATTTTGCAGAGGGGAGTGAGAAAGAGAAGAGAGAAAGACAAAGACACACACAGATAGGCAGACAACAGACAAAGATAGCTAGAGAAAAACATCGAATTACCATATTCGTTATAACTCTATAATTAGTAAATGGTAAAGAGACACGCTGGACATTGGCACGACGGGTGGCATTTAGATTTAATATATGTAGAATAAAATTTACGTTATTGCGATAACATTTGGTATCGTTTTTGTTGTCGTCGCAAGAACTCGGACCCCGATTTATCATCCGATTAAAAGTTTGTGGGCGTTTTACGATAGAGAATCGATTTTTAGCTAAAATAACGATCTCCGAATATCTCATAGAAGATCACCATATCTGCCAATACACTTCTTAGCTAGTGAAGCTATTGATTCAAATTTTTTATAACCATAGTTTTATTACAATATTATTCATATAATCTCGACTTACTCGTTGGAATAACAATATACAAATAAAAGCAAATTACTAATCGTATTACTATCGTTAATTTTGTGGCAACAATAACCAAATTTTCTATATTGATAATTGTTGCCATGTGAAGGAAAAATTCACTAAAAATTCGATTCTATATCACCGTTGCTAATGGAAGAGGTATGTATAGCCCAAAGCATCGACGTGGATCCTCGCTTATTAATTTCTTTAAGAGGTAACGTTCCTCCTCCCTTTTTTTTTTTTTTTTCTATATTTTTTCTTTTCATTCATATCTTATTCATTCTTTCTGCTTGTTTTTGTTTTGATTAGATTGGTACAGTCTACGTTTGATACGCATGGCAGTCTCGATTAGAGGAAACTGTTCAGAGCAAAAAAGTGGAACACTCGTGAGACCATTGATCATAATTTACTTTCTTACACGCGCATCCTTAAGAAAGTGTTGGCGACGCCATTATCTAGATTAGCCAATGTATCATTTTTTCAAAGCTAATGGCTGCGGTGTTGTATGCGCGTACCCTTTTAACTTTCCTACTGTTTTCTGTGCTCCGATCCTCAAAATATGTAAGAGGAGCTAGAATTTATACTATTTTTTCATAAAATTACCTACACAACGATGTTTTAATATACGATATATTGGATACGCACCATTTGCAAATTATAAATTATTTTGATCAAAATGAACTTGTAACTCGCGTCAATATTGAGAAAAATGAAATATAAATTATTGCTATACTCAAATGTGAAAAAATATGAAAATAGAGTAATTTATATTCATAAAAATTTTCTTCTGCATGTATCATATAATTTAAGTATTCATAATGCAATGATGAATATATCGGGCATGTACGCAACATTGAACATATTAAAACACCGAAGAGTGTAGCATAACAAAGATCAACTTAAATATCTTCAACATACTACTATATATATTGTTCTGAATAAACAGGATATTCGATTGAAACGTTAATGAGAACACGACCTGAATGGGAAGAATACTAATTCAGTAATTGAAAGATCATGAAAAACCTGCCTATCAGAGATGGGTGCGCACTATGTATACACATACGCGCATATTATATCAGATGAAAATAATATTATTTTAAGATATGAAAATACCAAAATACCAAAATGAACTGCGACAGAAGCAATATCGTAACGTCAATACTAATTTAGTATTACGTCGTACGTACGTACTTAATGTGTAGTACGCGCGATATAATAACAGCATTCTCTCGTGCCTATTATTAAATGTAGTCGGCATTACACCAAACAATTAATAAAGCACGGCGCACGCCAAAAGCCTTGAAATTCATGATATACCCTCCCTTGCCCCCATTATCCCCGAATCCCAAATTGAAAAATCTTCTGTTGAAAAAATCAAATCAGATCCTTGTTGCTGCCGAAATTATACACGGCACTGATTTAAGTAACTTCATCGCGAGAACCGGCCCATCTGACAATGCGGAATATAATTGACGTATCGTGAAGTAGAAGGCTTGGTCGTCGCACGAGTGATACCGCTCCTCCGTGCGGCACTCTACATCGACTCACCTCCCAGAAGGTCTCCGGGTAAGTACGAGTTCAGAGAACTGGGCGTAGCACGTTGTTGATCATTGCTGTCGATGCCAGCGCTGCTCCAAAGAGAATTGCTACTCGGTGGAGCGCCCCATAATTGGCTGGAACTACCGCCCCATGTGTCTGGTGGTGGACCAGTTTTGTTCGATGGTCGCAAGCCCCAACCTGCTCCTGTAGTAGCTCCAGCTTGTTGTTGACCTCCATGACTAAGTTGTTGCAACAAGCTGTGCACCTCGGTATCGGCTGGAGATTCTGCGAAAATTGTTGTGTTGCCCAGGACGCAATTGTTCAGAGCACCTTGTGCCTGTAAACATCATTAAACATTTCTCTTATTAATTTCAACTTTTGATAATTTCATGGTAGTAGATTTGTGATTTTTTAATCATTGTTTTATATAATATCTAAATGATAAAAATTGTACATTACATTCGTGTATATAATATATATGTATATATCTAAACAAATAAGATTTATACAATAGGATTTATTAAGTAAATCTACTAATTACTTGGGAAGAGTGCATATTCATTTACAAAATACTGGAAATGAAAATGAACATGAAAATTGTGCACAAAAATTTGTAAATATATTCAGAATTTCAAAATCACGTAAAAAGTTACATAAGGACACATTTATACGATCTTCAATATACAAACTTCCTGGAGCACCTAACATTAATACAGTCCCAGTGCATAAAAGCTTTAGATTTTTAGTCTATAGATATATACGATGAATCATATATACAAATAAAAATATAGTAGGTAATACTCAACTCAATTAATTATTGGGTGGTTAACCTAAGTTTAATTTTTTACGGTCTAAATTATACTACGCTTTTATTATACTACGCTATTTTTTAGATCTGAATCAACAGAATCAACTATACTTCAAGATTATTCATACATAAAAAGTAAATTTTACAATAAGTGAGAGTCTAATATATTTAAATACTTTTAGTTAAAGTCACAGATGTTGAACTGTAAAAGGATATAAGACCACTAAAGGTTAATGCAATTGATGCAATAACAAAAATATGTAAAAGACACTAAACCTTAATAGCCTCATCTCTTGATGAATATTTGGTTAAAGCAATTCCATGATTAAGGTATAATCGGAAGTCTTGAACAGGACCGTGTTGCATGCAGAGGGTTTTCAAAGTAGAACCATCGATTTGAGGCGTCAGATTCTTAAGTAGTAACCAGGTAGAAACCCAGGCAGCATTTGTGCTCGATTGAAAGCCCCAGGAACTGGATCTGCTGACGGTGCCAAAACCTGCCCAGCCATTGCTCGTATTTCCCGTAGTTTTGCTGCTCAAGCCTGGTGGAGGGCCACGAACCTTACTCATTGGTGCTCCCCAGAGCTCTGAAGTAACCGCAGTCGGCGGTGGAGCAGATTCACCCCAAGTGTTCTTCGAGCTGTAAATTATATTTTGTATAATTAAGATAGTTGAATAAAAACATTAAATAGTTAGTTAACGAATCGTATTAAATTAAAATTTAAAATATTAAATTATAATAAAGAAAGTAATAAAAATAAAGAATATATACGGTAGGTAAAGTATTAAAATTTTAAAGCAATATTTACCTAGTAAATGCGTTTGGAGTAGTAGCAGGTGGATTGAACGTCCAAGTAGAATTACTTAAACTTGGTATTGATGTATCAGGATTGGTAGGTTGTTGTGGTGGCGGCGAAGTCTTACTACTTGAAGAAAAAATGGCATCTGGATCTTTGATCGTTGCTAAAGAAAGCGGTGAACGAACGATAGAGCCTGGAGTAATGCTTGGATCATCCTCGATGCTCTTCATCTGGGTACCCTAAAATGAAATTAAATATAGGTGGACCCGAATAAACGTCATACGTAAGAATTTTTCGTTTTTCTGTTACTCATACAAAATCTGAATTACTAAATATAATTAACAGAAAAGAGAAATTCAAATATCCTAAATCAATTTTTATTACAATAATGAATACAATTTAAAAGAAAATGAAAAATTATTTTATTAAATTTTATTAGAATACTAATATATATTACCTAATCTATATATAGATAATACATATCTAATCTGTATTCTTTACGACAAATTAAAAAAACCCTTCATTGTTTTACTATTTTTAAGAGGTCATTTCTTATTTTGGAATTTGATTACCAGCGCGTACTCTGTTTAACCCCTTTCGACGTCAGGCACTGCGAGACAAAAATTTCGTCATACAACCAAATTTCATGACAGGAATTCTACGATTAACAAACAAATTTATTTTCTATTAACGTAAATGAAACAATACCTTAATAATGTTTCATTATTTTAACTTGTACAACATAAAATCTGAAGAAGATCTGTATAATTTGTATCATTTTGTGTAAACGGCATTCTATTCTTTCCATTTTTCTGCATAAATATATTTTAAATACAATTATTTCAAAGAAATCAAATGTTTCAATAATATCTTAAACTTGCGTCATAAACAACCGATTCAAAATATTGAATAAGATTTTTTATACTGAAAAAGGTTTTCTTCACATAGGAAGTACGATATTGGAAATGGATTACCTTCCATGGCTTGCCAGGTTCAAATTCAGGTACAAGATCGGTGAAAGCAGCAGCACCAGCAGCTGCACCAGTTGGCTGCCAATCCTTTCCATCAGTGGAATCCGAGTTACCTGGATCTGGCCATCCACTCTCTCCAAGTCTGGTGGACCATGTACCATCTCCTTGACCCAACAAAGGATTCATGTTAGGACTACTGTGTGATCGTGTTAAACCAGCCGGTGTAGCTGCTGGCTTACTGGTTGTTCCTGGTGCTCTCGAGAACTCGTTCGAAACTAACTCTCCATCCTTGTCCAAAGAAGGTAACTTCCACTGATTCAGTCTTGACTGTTGCTGACTCTATAATAAAAAATTAATTTTCACATCACAAATCTAATTATTACTCTCATTGTTTCTTTCTAATACAACAAAAATGAATTATTTCGTTCATTTTTCACGAGAAAAAATTTAAAACATTGTATATAAATTTTTCTATGAAGTATATATAACTTCTTACAAAATAAAAAATGTACTTACAACAGGAGGTTCCTTATTCATTGTCAAATCTGTGAAACTATTTTGCAAAGCTGACATAGGATCATGTACTGAGCTCTTATAGTATTCTGAGCTTTGAGATGGTGGCACAGGGTGTTGCTGCTGCTGTTGTTGCTGCTGCTGCTGCTGTTGTTGCTTCATGTAAGTAGCTTGTTGCACAGCAATTTGGTTTTGAAGGTTTGCTATTTGCTGTTTTGTTTTTGTAATTTGTACACTGATCTGAAGAACAGATTGGCCATTGCCCTTCATTGTACTTTGCACAGAATGTTGTTGATGAAGCTGTTGTAAGACTTTGATTTGTTGTAATAGTTGGTTCAAAAGTATTAGAGTTTGAGGTGCAAGTGGTTGATTTAAAATTTGATGGTTTAAGTAACCTTCCTGGACGGCTAGCTGAATCTGTTGTACTAACATACGCAGTTGTTGAGTACTGGGTTGATTCTGAGGAGCTCTGGAAGCCTAGAATTGAAAAAAAAGAATAACTATTTGCTATAAATATAACAAATCTCAACAGACAAATTTTAAACAATTATCTGAATATCTATCAACTAGCAATACTAACAACATTTACCTGATTGAAAGGTGGTTGAGGTGCATTACTACTAGGTTGTTGTTGTTGTAATGGAACAGCAGTTTGTTGCTGTTGTTGTTGTAATTTCAATAAACTTGCACTAGCAACCGATCCTCCCACACTACCAGTTGCATTTCCACTTGGCACTCCAGCACCCTATAATTAACAATTAGTACACACAAACTGTCACTTCATATGCAATATTACAGTTAATTCTAAATTTCAGTATATAAATGTCACTTAAGATATAAACATACCGGTAAGTAATGTCTATAAACACACATATTTATATACACATTGCTTAACATTTGATACATTAAAAATAACATTAAGAGGTGAAAATTTATTAAGATTTGGAAAATGAGTTATACGACCATAGCATAAAATAAACCAATATGTAAGAATGTGCCAATCAAAAGTGTTTTATAATTACGAGAAAATTTACAATCAATGCAAATTTAAATGTGCAAATCATTACGTTTATTGTGACATATAAAAGCATGTTAATATTTAAGAGATAACATAAATACGCTTGATTGTGCTTTATTACAATCAAAGTAAAAAGAAGGAGTAAACTAGCATTCAAATAATAATATGAACTGCTTCGGTTCAGAAAATTATCAAATAACTACAATAGTTTTTACCGGAGGAAAAGACATTTGCTGTGCGACATGATTAAATCTAGGATATGCTGGCGCAGTTGTAGCTTGATTTGTCGGATCATAAGTGGAGTGTGCGTCATGTCTTCTCCATTGGTCTAAAGGCCGCACTTGACTTAAAAGTTCCAAAGCTTCCTCTCTATTCATTTCACGAGTTCTCAATGCCAATTCAACATCCTCTTTCTATAATAAAAAAATAATCATTAAGTGCATTAATTAAAAGAAGGCATTTGCTTAATCAAAACATAAATATAAGAAATATATCTGTCAAATACATTAAATTAAACCAACAACAATGACTACATCGACAAGTATCGTATCACAATAAACATATTCAAAATTGTTAGATTTTACAATAATAAAATTATTATATCTATAATTATTATTGACAATATTAGAATGGATCACTATATTTCTAGTGTTTTAGTATCCTCAATTATATTTTGAAACATAAAATTTTAACTAATAGTTTTATTTAATAAATTTAAATAATTTATACGTACTTTGTATCCCATGTCACAAAGATATCTAAATTCCCTGCTATTCCATATAACTTCCTTTGTAAGAGTTGGTTTCGTAGGATGACCCCAACTAGGAGTAGGATCCATATCAGTATCAGCCCAGCTTCCAGTGGGCCCCATTGGTTTAGGTTTGTGCGCACTGGGTCCACCCCAAGTGCCAGGATTTAATTGAGCTTCGTTCCAGGTACTTGGTGTTTTTGGATCATCCCATGAACCTGTATCATGTGGTCCTTCAGCCCAACTACCATTTCGTCCACCAGCAGCACCAGGATGTCCCCACATTGGTCCACTAACATCTGGTTTCATTCCAGGTTGAGCTGGCATTCTATTCTGTGGCATGCCCGGAGGACACTGCATTCCTATAAGTTGTAAAAATGTAGTTTTATTAAATTCTTATAGTTCGCAAAAAAGTTCCCAACTGCGAATAAAATTCAAAGAACATGAACAATATATATGACGGATTTCCATTAGAATTAGGGTTACGGGCGTGAAACGAATCTTCATTTGAATTATACATTGTCGTTATGCAATAGAGAAGACATTGACTAGTGCAAATACGATTATTACAGGACTTGATAAGTAACCGTGGTACTTAGATACTCGGAGAGCTAATGACAATGATCCTAGGTTCAATAATGAATCTGTGGTCAACGGGATAACAGGATGTGCAGACATTGAGTAGTGCAAATACGATTATTACAGGACTTGATAAGTAACCGTGGTACTTAGATACTCGGAGAGCTAATGACAATGATCCTAGGTTCAATAATGAATCTGTGGTCAACGGGATAACAGGATGTGCGATATCCGCGGTCAACGGGATGATAGATGTACGTGCTCACAAACTCTAAGTCGGACTCTTTGTTAATAAAACGCGTAATATTCACTGATCGTAAGGCATTACTGTTTTCATCGATGAGATCGCAAGAAAAGAAAGAATTTCCGTCCCGATGATGCCACAGAGGAAAACTATGATGGGATGTGTCTAAGGACACGAGATCAGCGGATTCGTCGAGGATAGCCTTCGTTCAGAAAGTGAGGGAAATTGACGTTGCTGTTAATTGGTCAATTTCCATGTTGGTGGCTAGAAAAGGATGCTAGCCGTCCTTGAGGGAATGTTGCTAGCGGGAACTTTAGGTAACTTGATCTTAATGTTTATAACGGCCCTCAAGCTAACTGAACATGTACTGTGGAGATGCGTCGGCATCTGGTAACCATCATACCCGAAGAATAGGGTCTGCGTATAGCGAGCCACGAGACAGAAAATATTGGAATGTTTACTGTCGCGTGCCGCTACAAATATTTCTTTTAAGGAGAGCTATAGAATTACTCCATACCTTTGTTAGACACAGCGTTCATCCCGTGACCGCGGCTACGTTCGGCGAGTGACTGTCGACCGCGGCTACGTTCGGCGACTGGTTGTCGCCTCGAGCCCAAGCTCATTATCACAGATCTCGAACAAATACAATCGGATCGAATGACGACAATTGTTTAATTACGCCTATGATGAAATCTAGATCACGGAGTTAAGAGATTTTCCCGAAGTTCCAAAGGAAAGGCTCCGATGTCCTTTCATCTCCGATATATATATATATATATATATATATAAAGAAAGAAAACAAACAAACCTCCTCTCCCTATATTTGGCGTTGGAAGATCCTTCCAATGAGAAACTTTACTACCAGGTATGGTCCTTTGATTAACTGCAGGATTTCCCCATAAACTTGTGCCATCGTCATAGTTTGGGACATTTCTTCTTTGTGTTGGTGGAGAAGGTTCTTCCCAACCTGATGGTTTCCCTGGCATAATATCCTTCGGTGGTGGTGCAGCCCACTGATTTATATTAGAAGGATTTAACATCTTTGTTGGAGGGCCTGAAGGATGTTGATGTCCCATTTGGTGATGTGGTGGACCTGGTGGTTGACCCCACATTGCATCCGCATTGGCACCGTTTAACCTTCCAGAAATCCCGCGGGGATCCCCACGCATGTCTGCCATCCTAGGATCACGAGCCATTGGATCCATCACACGTATGTGTTCTCGAGGATCCAAAGACATTCTGTGGTCGCGGGGATCTCGCATCTCTCTAGGATCAACAGAACGGAGATCTCTAGGATCTCGATGATCAATCCTTGGATCACCCCAGTTGGATCCTATAAAATACGTCATTCGTAATTTATTTTAGAATGAGATCTTCAATAACATGAAAAGTTTTAGTTAGAAGGTTTTTATTTTCGATTAACTTTCTGAATATTGAAAAAATCTTAATATATTCTTAAAAAATTGACCATATAATAAAACACATAAATAACCAGAATTTAAAGTATAATGCTTTTTTAATATTGTACAAATTGCAATCAAATAATAATCTTTTCTGTAATCATATTTCGATTTGCAAATTTTAATGTCCAAAACAGGAAATGGAGGAAAAGGGAAAGTATTTCAATATGACAATAATTACCTCCCCACATACCAGTTTGGTTACTGGTACCAGTTGTCCATTGGCCAGCTGCAGAATTTGGTTGGGAAGATGTGGGGGCACCAGTCCACATATTAGATGTATCTGCAGCTTCATCATCTTCACCCCAAGTTCCACCAATGTTTGTTGCTGGTGTATGACCCCAAGGTGTTTTAGCTTGCTGCTGAGGTGGAGGTTGACCACCATTTCTGAGATTAGCTTCCCATAAATCTGTGCCATTGTTTACCGGTGTCTTCCAGATTGGAACTCCATCTTTTGACATACTAGGTTCTGGAGATGTTGGGACATCCCAGTTTGTGTCCTGATTCACATTCTGCTATAACAGAAATGCAAAATTCGATGTTAGTATGGTACAGTACTCAAATATAAAATATAAGTGTGCAAAATGATCAAAGAAAGATTTATGCCTACAATAATACCTTATATGATAACAGAGATACTCACACAACCCCAACCATCTTGACTAAAAAGTGCTTCCCTCACTGTATTTAACTGTTCTAATTGTTGCTTTGTTGAAGGATTATTGTTTGCAGGTGTATTACTACTGTTAACAGATCCCTGAGTCTGATTGTTTGACTGATTATTATTGTTACTGGAATTCGACTGTTGCTGCTGTTGTTGTTGTTGTTGGGCTGAAGTATTATTATTTTGAACAGAAGAGTTCTGACTTGTTCCTCCAGGATTATTAGATTTTCCCTGTGACCATTGGTTGCTGTTTTGACCACCCTGACTTGTGCCACTTGATTGAGAAGTGGGTGGACCTGATTGTTGATTTGATTGTTGATTTGGATTGCTCACTTTATTCACGTTACCTAAGAAGTAATTATTCATCCAAACATATTCTGCTATGAAAATCATTCCATATATTCAATTTAATATTTAAACACAAATTTAAAATTATTTAAGAAAAGAACTTAACAAAACAAATACAAAATGCTTACCTGGGACATTTTGTCCACCTGGAGGTCCCTGATTTTGATTTGAATTTGGATTTCCAGCAACGGACCTATTTACACTGTTTCCAGTCCAATTACCAGGTGCTCCGCTACTTCCGGAAGGATTCCCAGAGTTTCCTCCCCAACCCGATTGATTGTTGTTGTTGTTATTTGTAGTACTAGTTTGTGTAGAGCCCCAATTTGTAGTTCCACCGCTATTCAATGAATTTTCACCCCCGCCAGCCAATCTCAAAATGCCAGGAATTCCCCACCTTTTCTTATACCCCAAATTGAATTCATCAAGATCGCAAATCTGTCCAAAAAGGAGCGTTAACACGTGCTTAAGATCAGTTCTGTGAGCTTGTAAGATGTCTTTGGAAACTCCAACGGACGCTGCTATGAGATTCCTTGCACAATGAATAAGATAAGTTCGACTCACGCCATTTGCGTTGTCGACTTCCTTTCTCTTCGAGAAACTAGAAATTGGATAATTTCTTGAGGATATTTCTTCCACTGCAGTAGAAACAGTTAAATTTCCATTTGTGGTTCGCTTATCCTTTGAACCAGGAGCAGCATCTTTATATTTTTTAAACTGATTGCAATTATGTAAGTTTACTGCAATGGCATCGATCTTCATTGCTTTATTAGAATTCTCACTGTCAATGAACTGGGCAGTTTGATACGTCGAACTGGTCAGACTGAATTGCTTAGAATTTACCAGACTTTCTGTGAAAATGTTCTCAACATTAAATCCGATAGCTTGGAGTACTTTGAATAACGTCTCTTTAGATTGGTACAAATCACAGAGATTTTCTGAAGAAAATTTTCCATCAATCACACCAGTGAAAGCTTGGTACTTCAGCTTCGTTCGTTTAAGTAAACTAGAGCACGACAAACTAATAGAAACATCTCTTTCTATCAACTCGTGCGAATTTTGGCAATCGTAGTTTCTCTCAAAACCGCAAAAACAAAATACTCCTGTCTGAGTATAATGCTCGTCATTGAAATAGACAGCAGTTTGAGATCTGATCCTTTTTAGTTCGTTATCGTTAATCGTATTTTCACCAATGTTTCGGCATTGTATTTGTTCGTTAAAATTGCCGAAACATTTCGAAGAATTATTTTCTTTTACTTCTCCTTCTGGAAGAGAATCATTGTGATATTCCGTTAAACAGTTTGATAAACTGCCATAAAATTTGTGAGGAGTGTGCATTTGGTCGGGCCATAATATCTCGAAGTAGTTCGGCCGAGATCCAGGTACACCGATTATTCGGGATGCAGATTGGCGTGTAAGCGTCATCGTAGGCTTGCAGGTAGTCATAGTAGGAATGTAGAGAGCGAACTCGTCTTGGTTCTCCCCCTTAACCCTAAACCTATCCCCTATAGTAGACTTAGAAAGAGACTTAACAAACTCAGGGCCAAGACGCGTATACGACCCTGAGTACCTATAGCTCGCGAAATAAGTGCCCGAAGGCTCGTTAGACTTAACATTATCCTGAAATGAAAGAGCACCAACAGTAATTGTTGCCACGTCACTAATACCATTAATTACCCAGGACAACATCTCCACCGTCTTTTCTTTTAAGTTCAAAATTAATATTTTTGAGGTTCTTAGTCTCATTGCAATCGCACCACCGTCCATTTCAACGCGGAGGAAATAATGGTTACTGGTTGAGCTGAGCAATATCACAGACTTGTAGTTATCGTTATTATTACTTAGGAGGCTAGAATTAGACTTAATATTATTGTATTTGCCCGGATGAAGGCAGGATCCTAGTAAGGAGTAATTGTCAAGAGAGTCGAGAGAAAAGTGGCCTGACGAGGGGCGATCAGACTTGGGTATCCTAACTAGGCTAGGTACCCCTTCATCGATTGCGCACTTATCTCCTGTTAATCTTAGATTTACGCTTATACTTAGTACCCTAATGTTTAGTACGCTAAAGCTAGTTAGAAGATGATTTTTTGTTGGGTGTTTTGTGGTTGACGACGCCACTGACTGGCAGGTCGAGCTTCGACTGGTCAAGATAAACTTGCCTAAAACACAAAATAATATTACCTTAACAACCAGCTCTTTGATATAATTAAAATGTTATATTAAAAAAATTTCTTAAATATTATAGTAACTGCCTAAATATTCTATAATCAAATAGTTATTCATAATATTACAAATATCGAGTAATATATATGTAAACATTAGGTAGTTCAATAGCTAGATACTAATTTAAAACTTTTACCGAAATATATATTAAATATATATAGGGTGTCTTGTTTACGTGGAAAAATAGAATATCTCGCGAATATTAAAATTACCAAAAAAATGTTTTAATAAAAGTTGTTTGATTCGAAGGGGAATATCATATGATGCAAATTATTTTTTTTGCGGATAGAGTTAGTGGGGCAGATTTTAAGGTCGTCTTCATTTTTTAAGATGGGACCATATATTTTTTCCATCTAGGATTCATCTTGGAATTTGCTATAAAAAAATATTAACCTATTTATGTCGAAAAACTATTAGTTTAACAGATGTTTTAGCTCTAATTTGTAAAATTTAACGTATGAAGGACAAAGACAGACGTAAATACAGAAGTACCACTTCGCATCTTCCCTTATCTTTCATATGTTAAATGACACATTAGAGCTAAAACATCTGCTAAACTAACAGTGTAATTTCGACATAAATAAGTTAATACTTCTTTATACGAAATGCCGAGATGGATCGATTAATGTATTAAAACATATATAACTCTATTTTAAAAAATGAAGTTGATTTTAAAATCTCCTCTACTACTCTAACTACAAAAAAATAATTTGTGATACCGTTTCCAATTAAACGAAATAGCTTATATTAAACATATTATAATTTATTGCCATGGTGTAATAAATATTCTCTTTTAATATTGAAATATATTTATTTTAGTAATGTTAAATGAAAATAGTTATTTTCTTCGAAGAAACAGATGATTTAATATTAAATCTTGAGAAGAGTGATTAAACTATAAAAAGACAATCTGTTGGTTCCGCTAAAGTTCCGATCTGTACCAAAATGGCTTCTTGTAACACTAGCGCCGCCTACTTCGCGTTAAAAAGGCTTTAAGCAAGAGACATTAAATCGTTAAAGCAAAATGTTGTAGTAGTTATGTAAAAAATTTCATACTATTGATTACTTTTCTCATACTATCGATTCCGTATGACTTTATTGATAACGTTTTAATAGATGTAGACATTAAAATACAATCTACCGTAAAGCAATCTCAATTTTTTATCGACATACTTATGATAATTATCTTACAGACTTTTATATCTATCATTGAAATTTTGAATACAAAGAGCATTATGATTTCTATTAATTTTCCAAAATCATTCATTTATAACTTTAATGAAATCTTTCAAATTCTAAATAGTTCTTCTTTTTCATTATTTCTGCTACCTCATATATCTTGTATGTATATGTATGATCGATGGAAACGATATAGTGAGAATGTAAAATAGAGAAATAAAAGATGACACCACCTAATCTAGCCCCATCTAGAGTCTATTTCACAGATAGACACACCCAAAATTTTTTAAATCAATTACTATCAATTCAATAATGTGTCGAGAATTTCAGAATACAGGTTAAAATAAATTATAATCTCTTTTAGAATAAATTATAATTTTTCTTTTAAAATAAGGATAAATATTTTTTAATACAGTGAAAAAGGAACAGTAATTCTGAGAACTGAAGCCAGGCTCTAAGTCTCAGGTTCTCAACCTGTGGACGCAAAAAGTACCGGATCAGCCAAAATTCAGAATAAAATTTGAGGAGTCAATAACTTTAATTAATTTGGTTTAAGAATAAAAAATAAATTTGGCTTTTTTAATAGCTTATGCAACCAGTAGTACGAGACATAATACGAAATAGAAAGTGTTCGTAGAGGTTTACATTTATTAAACGAGGAGGACAATGCAGAATACTAATAGATTGATTACATCATCGTATTAAAACTACATCGTAAAAGGAAATACCTATTCATACTTTAATTATAATTTAAAACAGTTTCTTTAACCATAAATTATTTCAAACCCTGTAATCTGCATTATTTATTGCTGTATATTTAATTATTCATATTCATAACTGCTTAGAATTATTAAAAAAAGTTTCCATATGCAAAGTTTTAAAATTCTATTTATTAATACATTTAGATCGAATTGGAAACTTTCGCATTATAAAGTTACTGAAACAAAGCACGAAGTTCATTGTTTAAATACAATGAGTGTAATATTGTTCCAAAAATATGGAAAAATTAATTAAAACTGTATTAAAACTACAACTAATTAATTATAAATTAATATATAACTAACAAAGAGGTTTAAATTATCGCATTCATTGATCGCTATCATTGGATTCGAATCTCAACTTTCGTTGTTGAAACAATTCTGTCCTCCCAAAATTGTTCTAGCTTTTGACCTGGGATCAGAGACGATATTCAAATACATCTGGTAAAAAGCATGTCCACTTTTTTAAGTTGTTTGCTTAGGAGTGACTTCTCAAGTAATAATTGCTTACCTGATAATTAATTCCTTACTTAGAACAGATTTAGGAGAATAGAACCATTTCCATAACGGTAGCGATACGTTGACGGTCTATTCAACGCGATAAATTTAAATCCTTCTTTTAGTTATGTATTAGTTTGTAGTTTAATCTATTTTGTTGTATTTTCTTTTTGTTGTTGTTTTTCTTGTTCTTTCATCTTTTATTTCGTGCCTGTGCATGTGTATACGAACATCATACTGTGTAATAGTTATTTTTTAGTGACTTGTGTATATTCTCTGCATAGTAATATCTGTTTTAAATTATGTGGGCAAATTCATGGACTGAAATAACATTAATCCTTCCCGTTTGAAAATTTCATAGCGGGCTTTGATATTTTCTTATGGATTCGTGAATAAGCAGGTTTAATGCTTAATCTGCGATTTTTCTTAGAAAATGCAGAATCGCTCACGACATCGAGAACGTCAATCTTCTTCTCTACAATTTGCATGAGGTAAATCGCTACGCATGTATTGTTATGTTTGTATTACTAGTATAAAATAGAGAATATATTATTGTAAGGAAGAAGCTTCTTTCTATAAAAAATAAGAGATCATACTTTTTAAATGGCATCGTACATTTGTTTGCTTTCATCCGTATATTTAACCAAGAAATTTGATAACATATACTGCTGCATAAAATAGTGATATACGGAAATGTACTTCACGATATACATATATATTACTGAATAAGATTACCCAATGCAATTGCATATACTTCGTTTCCATTTTATAAATTTAATTATTTTATTTTCATTTATGTTTTAAAAAGGAATTTTTATATGTCATAATATTTAATGTATACGTTCATATAAGCTATTATAAAAATATATATTTACCAGTTTGGTTCGACAGGACGGTTAAAAAGTCATTGGCGGCGGTATTTTCGCGATGGCTATTAGGTTTGGCCATCATGTTGTTTATGAACTCGATATCACAGTACCTATCATTCTCTGATTCTCTTCCCTCCCCAACCCTTATCGGACTGCTTTTCCCTAATACTACTACATCCCCCTGAAATCAAAAGTAATATTATCATAAAAATGCTTGCTTCTATTAATCAGTCTAAAATTTTATGTGCTAAAATTTTTATCAATCATATACTTAAATCAACAAGAGTTGTTCATCAGAATACAAATAAAACCTATTTTACTTTTTAAATATAAAATTAAAACTACTTTGATTCAATTACAAATATTTGACAATTCATTGCGAATTAAACATAAATATTAAAACATCTTTTTTATTTCTGTTCGCAGTATAGTATTCTTTTTTTCTTCATTCGTTCCACTGACCCTTGATTGTTCTTTTCATATTATGTATCACTTTTTGTTATAAACTAAATTGATTTAATCAGTATATAAAGATTGAAAAGTGATAAACGAAGAAGACACTAATAAGAGCTTCTTTTATTTATAGCAATTACACAATATATGCTTATGTATGTAAGAAATGTACATTAAAACTACTTGAAAATTTCATACTTCTCAGAAGTAAAATACCCAATGAAAATGTAATATAGCCAACTAATATAGCAAGATTCTAAAAATTTTTTCGAAATCACTTTGGATAATTTGTGAAATATAAACGTAATTCTAGCAATGTAAGTATAATAAGAGTAAAAGTATTTAAAATTCTGTAAAACCAATTGCATTTCTTTGTGGATAATGAAATAAATATATACTACTACTACTACTATAAATAAAATTCTAATTTTTTAAAGTGGAAAATATGTTTATGCTTTCATAATCATCCAAGACACGATGAACATGATAATACGCGGTTATGTGACATTGAAACAACCTTCAACAGTGAGATTTTATCTCTGAAACATTATTCACATGTATATAATGTTAATATACCTTAAATAATGTCTGAAGAGGATTTATGATTATGATATATCTAGATAACAAATTGTGAATAATTGAATTTCAGTGTGACGTAAAAATTTATTGTGTTTGCAATGCAAGTAAACAACACTCTATACGTAATATTTGCTGTATAGTAAGGTTAGGTATACATATAATTTCAATTTGTTAGATTCTTTAATATTACAACAAAAATGATGAAACTATTATTAACTTTAGAATGTTCACACAAAATCACAGAGGCTGCTTCCTACAAATGTTTCTATAAGTTATTATAAATGTTAACATTACGCAACATGATTATGCGCAAATTTCGCACAATATTGTAATGACGAGAAAGGTTTCAATTGCAGGTGCATTTTCTACATAAAAAAGCTTTGCAAGTGAAACATAGCAAAAAATAATATTTTAACAAAAATACTGTATTTCAATATAAGTATTGATTATTCTAAAAAATATATCCAACTTTAAATGCAAATACGATGTAACTTGGAACATATTAAAAAATCTAATTGAAAATTGTCCTATGTATATTGTTCATTGCGAAAAATGATCTTCAAATAATGCACATTAATTTTTATCAACATAAAATATATTTTTATAACATAAAATTCTGCATATGGGGACTGAATCTAAAATAATAAATAAATATTCTTTTTACTGACAGGCATATTTATGTTTAAGAGGTGAATATTGATTTTTAATTTAAAACGAGAAAGGAATTATTTCACATTTTTTTATATTATGTACACATAGTGTTTAAATTTGTGTTTTTATGTTTTAAGTAAATTAGATTGTATAATGTAATTTAGTAAACTTTACCATTCATTTATGTACTCGTATAAAAATTTAAAAATAGTATATATTTCACATATTACATATTTTTTAGTATTTTGATTAAAATACATATATATTTTTTTAGAATCTTTTTTGTTATACATACAAGTTACTATGTGATAAAAAGAAAAAACACATCAAAGATTCACTTTACAATATATTTCAAAACTAGTGTCAAAAAATATTAAAAAATTAAAATAGAGCTATTAAAAACTACAGAACTTATACTTACCATGGAATTTTGTACGAAGGCATTTGTTTCTGTAGAAATCTCATGTGAACTAGAATTGTGTGGAAACATTGGGCTCAGTTCTTCTTTGGCAGGCAATGCATAGAAACCAAGATCTAAGGAATAATTTTTTATGAATTTATTATTACTTATTATGAATCATAATATTAATGTTTAAATTAAAGAAAATTTTCAGTTATTAATTTTATTAAACCAATAATCTGTTTATTATTCCACATTGTAATAGCAATGAGTCTTGGATTCTACATGAGAAATTCAATTGTCTACAATTTAACATTATTGATGTGCAATAGGTATTACTTTATTATGATATAATGCAAAATGAAAAAATATATTGCGAGTACTGAATAGTAAATAAAAAGATAGTTGTAACAATGTGAATGTATCAGTCTCTTTTAATTAATTTATTAAATTATGAATACTACAAACTGAAGTACAAACCTTGTAGACTATCACTATCAGTGTGCTCCTAGCTCCATGCCAGTGGAGATCTGTAATAACATAATATTATTTTACTTTAAACAAATATAATTATAAAATATAATTACTTTAAACAAATATAAATCTTTGAGCGCTAGTAAAAATTGTTTGTTTCTAAGTTCATTTTTTAATTCTCTGTACGAGTAAATATACTTTTCTAAACTATTAAGTACATAACTATATAGTACATGTTTTTAATTGCACCATATACAATATAATATAATTGCTAATGTTTACTATGAATGAAGCAGATAAAATAGTTAAGATTGCCTTTCCCTATTTCTTGCGAATATAAATTTTTTACTGCCTTATTACGCTATGAAACTATTAGTAGCAATCATTAATTTTTTCAATGTTTACTCCAAGTGACAATAATACATATCACATATTTCATGCAATACCTGACTATAACTCTATAATTGTTAGATATACATTATTGACAGTAAACTAGAAGCTTTGCAAAAATACTAATGTTTCTATTTTATGACTACATTTCTCTCATTATAATAAATCCAAATATTTTCTATGTACTATAAATTTATCAATGAGCAAGGGAAATACTGCAAAGTAATTTTACTACTGAAATGTTGTAAATACACGTTGAACATCAAAACGAAAATCGTCGTTTCGATCGATTTCCCCGTTTCACCAATAGACATATAAGCCCTGGATACACTCTCAAAACGCACAACTTACCAAATCTGTGCGTAATATAAGGTTAGATAACAAGTAGACGTACAAAATGAAGACGTAATTTGTACATTTCACGAATAATTACTACAGGCATATGTTATATATGTATCCACAAATATACATTCGAAATACAAAATATTCTACGCATTAAATATGGAAAAAAAATGTTTTTAACTTGCTGAAACTCGTACGCATCTATGTAAAATACTAGTGCATTTATAGATATTTCTAGCAATATAGGCACCATGTATTGTTCACAAGTACGTATAGATTCACGTAACATGTACGTGCATGTATACATGCATATATATGTATATATGTACATGTATATTGCACGCTGTATGTGCATGTGTTTGCGCGCGCGCACACACGCCCCTATGTGTGCAGTATATACAACAATTACATGTTCTTACGTGCATATACGTAAAACTATACATATGGATGCATATGCATATGTATATCAATGTATATAATCATCCGTATGCATATATATATACGCGTGCCGTATATTTATCATTATACGCACCATTTATACGTAATACCGTAATACCATAAATATATTCACACGTATGTGATTTGTGTATGTGTATTGATAAAAGAACGTAAAATGTAAAATGTGAAGGATGGAGAACACAGGAGAGAAATTAGCTACCCTTTCCTAAGATATCACAGGGAATTAAGTATCGTAACATTAGATAGAATGTTCGAGAATGAATGAAATTCAAGAACTTACTTTTTAGATTCGGTGCCCGAAGAAGATTTCAGTCTAGTGGAAGATATTTCGTTGGCGCACGAAACGGGCAGAGCGAGTACCGCTCCGCTGGTGGGCTATTCCCGCGAGTGGCGCTACTCCCCCGGATTTGGAGAGCTCGGTGTTGCTGATGCGCGCACCGAGACCCGATTCATAGTTGTACATGTGAAAAGACCCTTTCACATTTCAGAATGATCAGTAAACAGATTACTACTCGATATAAATAATATTCGATGCTATATAGTTAGTTTTAGTAGGATATAAAATAATTAATTCAACTGCAATTTATAGCTGAATTGATGGCCAAATACGCTATATTTTACAAAAATATATGTATTACAAAACAGAGATTATATCTAAATTTTGAAATATTCTTTTGCTATTTATTGAAACATTTTAATAATGTCAATAATAACACATTGGATTCATAAACAGTTATAATAAAAAATTTGAAATAATCATATTTCATTAATGTAACTTTTATATGTATATATAATTTTATAAGAAAAGAAATAATTTTGAAACTTAGAGAAATTTTTATGATACAATTAAAATGATTTTTTCTTTCTCGTTTCTTCGTTCAGATACTCGTTTGATAGAATAAAAGTTAATGAAAAATAATAAAATATGCAAAACAATGAAAATTAAAAATGATATTCGTATTAAAATGTATTACATCAATAATGAATAGAGAAGCTTCGATTAGATAAGGATGACTCATACATATTAACTTTCATATACTTCTTGATTAAAAGAAAAATTATATTGAAACCTATAAAGATAAATATTTTTCTGTAATATATATTTTATTTTCTTAGATAATTATACCTATATAAGCAATGCGAATTTTATTTTTTGTTAAAATACATTAAAAAAGTTAAAAACATCGAATTAATAACATCCGATATTTGCAAAGTATATTTTTAATAAAATACTCAAATAGAAAAGAAGAAAAACACGCTTATGCTACCTTATACCTATACCTTTTTCACCGTCTTTTAATAAAATCATTTATAACAAGATTAGGTAATACGTTTTCAATCGTTATTTCGCAGATGATTACGAAATGATGCAGAAATCTGATCAAAGAAGAAATGTACCAAGATAAGATTATAGAATTTTAATTACGTAATTAAGAACATTGACATTAGTAATGTTACATAAAATATAACGTTGCAAAAATTTCATACTTAATGCATTGAATTTCGTTAAAATTTGTTCGCGAATAACTAAATGTGATTTACGCGCAAATATACAATTAAATATAGGTTAAATGTTTTGGAATACTTTAATTTTATTTAAGTTTATTTTTTTATATTTATTATTTTGTGATGATGTAGCTAATATTTATACGCGAATCATTTATGTTATATTAGACAAAATAATATTATATTAGTAAAATGCTTTTTATAAAATCATAAATTATCGAAGAAGCAAACTGTTTTGTTTATAGATTAAAAGGCAACATTTTTTCTCAAGGTTGTTTCTTTTAAAATCTCAAATTTATTCTCACATGGTTTTAATATTTTTAAATTATATCATTATTACCTGACCTTGAAAAAATGAATATATCCTGTTATAAAAAAGATACATATTTGCACAATTATATCACTTTTATGCCATCTCGTATTACAAACATCGGTAACCTTGAAACTCAAAGGCGTGACTTTGAGAACAAAATTTTATATATCAGAAATTTCGATTTTTCCAACCAAAATGATTTTATTTTTGATATTTTATGGTACTATGAGAATGCTATGAGAATGAGCAAATACTTTAACCATTGATGTTAAAGGAAATATTCTGCATGTAATCCAATTGCACAGTTATGCAAAGTTACATGGCGCTATCATCTAAAATTTGTAACAATTTTATGATCTATATAGGACCCTTCACTTTAATTTTATGTAAAACATTACTACAAATTATGAAATAACTATAGGGAATAATAAAAATTCATCGTACTACCACATGCCTATACGTAAGATTTGGAAATTATCGACCCGTTAAAGGTGATACTCTACCTACGTAGATATATGTACACGTACAATCTTTACCTACAGAGTGTACTAATATCTATGCGTGTACAACGCGTGCTATTCTCTTGAGCGCACGTCTGCCCTTTTACTGCGACAACTTTCTCACTATTATAATTTACTATTACAGTTTTATTTATTTGCATTCATACATTTATTGTATTTATACACTCCTTACCTTCTCATACCTCTTGAAAACAAAAGTATAACAACCCTTCTTACTCACGCACACATGTACGCACACGTATATGCATATAATGAAATGTTAATTATGCTTATTTCTAACATTTATAGAATAGATATATTTTTCTATTTTTTAAACATACTTTATAGTCTTTATCACATTCTAAACTACGTAATATGATATTAATTTATTTCCAAAATAACAAAACTAATTTTGAATTAAATATTTATCGATTAAAAAATCATTGCTAATGTCTAGATACAAAAGGCAAAATGTCTTTCCAGTTGAATATTTTTTTATCATAATGCTAGTACATAATATGTACTTAGATTGCATACACGTGAGCAAATTTATAACGTAACAATTGCTTACTTCCGGTAGTATGGCTGTCATTTGAAATCAGAGAACGCAAGAGTAGAAAGTGGAGGAAGTGTTCTTTTCGATTCGCTCCTTTTTCATTCTATAGTAAAAAGCGTTGTAAGCATTATGAAATAAAACGAAATTTTATTTTTTAATTAATAGTAATATAATAAAAGTAGAGTAAAATAAAACGAATTATTACTGTATAGAAAATAAGAAAGAGAAATTTAATAAACTAATTTTAATATAGAATTGAATGAATTACATTATCCATTTTTGTGCCACTGCTTTTACAAAATTTTTTAGGGGATTTACTTATATTTTAATACAAATAGACACTAATTTGATGAAAGGTTATGAAACTTACATTGCATGACTATAAGATATTAAATATTCCCATTCTAATCATCTTAACTTTATTATTAATGTAAATATTGTTTGGTTTAAATATAAACATTGTGGATATATTAATTTAACTTGAAGCTTCTAAAACTATTTTCTAATATTATGAAAAAAAGGTTATTACTCATAAAAAATAGAAACAGAATTTTCTGAAATAGATTTTTTATCAAACTTCTACTATTTGCCAATGCTATCTAATAATTCAATGAAATATATACAATGTAAATTAATTTGTAGGAAACAATTCTGGAAATTTTGTATTTAAAAATAATTACTATGGCAAAACTTGTTTTTATGAGAAGCTTCTATCTTTCTATGCTTGATGTTAAATAAGTAAGTAATAAATTTTATCAAAATTGGATAAGGAAAATTACTTCAAAATTTATTCAACTATATTATACTATAAATTTCTAAATTTAAATTTGATATTTAACTTCTTCTTCTCCCTTGTATCATTTTCATACAAAATGCAATGTATTTCATAGAATAATCATTTTATTTCACATAAGAAAAGGTTATGTTAACATTTACATACAAAGCTTTATATCTTAAAATAAGCAATTCTTACAATTATGATGTTTACAATATAATTATAATTTTAAGAATAAAAGGAAAAAAAGATTGTAAGATTTTTTGTAGTTACGTTTGTATTAACTTATTATATTTTAAAAATATATTCAATACTACATTATCTAAAAATAATAAGTTATAGATATATTTTCTTTATCTTATCTATAAGTATAAACAATTGGTAAATGTTCTTTATTATGGTGTATTATATACAAGAAGATTATTTGGCAATCATTAAATGCACTTACTTATCAAATAATTTTTGGACTTATTCAATGTATATGGTACAAGAGATAATCAAGAAAGGCAAACGATTAAATTCAAATTGTATATTCTATGATAAAATTAGTACAGCTATATACTATCAATATATCTAATATAATTATAAATGTGATTTCTTAATAGAAAGAAAGACTAAAGAATTTACAACATTTTTCATTTCAATTTTTAGTTACAAACAAATCAAATATATTAAAAACAAGTAATTATTTGTCTAAAAATTTGTTCCACAATTTTCATTTATTTGTATACAAAGAATCACTCATATTTTGGAATATAATGAAAATATGTGTCAATCTAATTTAATCAACTTTAAAATGCAAATTTTTTAAATATTATGGATCAATTCAACAAATTTGCCTTTTTATATGAAATCACTCCCTCCTTAGTTGTACTACCATGTATATAATATATACATATATGAAAATACTATAGTATATAACAGACAAACAAATGTTGAATGATATTATTGTGCAAAATGTTTTGTGCTTTAATATTTTATATTTAAATAAATAGGTCAATGGAAATATACAATCATATGATAAAAACACAGAAATACATTAATGGTATATTCTAACAATAACATTCTAATAAGCACTGACTATTTACAATTTATATTTTGATAACTTCATATAAGCATATATTGCAACTTCATAAATGTGTTATTTTTTCTAGTAACAAAAGGTTAAAATTCGTTTATTCTTTTAACAATAAGAAAATGTATCTATCAACTGTTTCGTAATATTTATATTTGTAAATAAAGTATTAACGACTTTAATTCGGTGAAAAATAAAATGTATTTCTCTCTTTTCCTCAACTTTATCAAAAATACTACTTCAAAATAAAAAAATTTTACGTCTGAAGTATTATAAGGTTATATTTATATATACATATACACAGTACATATACGTATATTATATATAATAATAATAAAATGTAACTTACCAGAGCATATATCAATCATAGAAAGTTCTTAAAATTAGATTGATCACAACACTTTCTTCACACGCTTTCAAAAGCACATTTCGTTGTGAGCACAATAGTTATTTTACCGAAAATACATCTCCATCGCTAGGCACGGAGTCTTGAAAACTGTACTGTTTTGTGAGCCACGTCATACAATACAGATTGAAACTTCCAACGAATATTTTCTCTTAGATAAGAACGACATCTTGCAAAGAAGAAGCAACAATAATATACTTGGCGGATAATTTAAATAAAATTTGCATTAACTGCGCAAAATGTAATATAAATTACTTTTAAATACTTTTTAAATACAATTAAATCCCCATTTTTTTCACATGTTAATTTTCCAACTTTACAGTCTTGTTGTGATATCATGCTGTTGAAGAAATCTCTGCAGAATTCTCTATATGTTTCTTTGCTCTCGTTGTATGTTTACAATTTTATTTCGTATTGAATATTAGAACTAAGAAAATGTTTTAAATAGTAAAATCAAAATATATAGTATAATAACTTCCTAAACACGTAGAACGCACTATTCTAGAACTTTAAAACATTCTTTTTGTATTTCAAAACACACCGACTTGTTAGAAAAGAAATAGTTTTATCATTAGCAATTCGTAATAAAATTAATTAATTAATTAATAACTAATTAATTAATAATTAAAATAAGATATTTATAAAACATAAACACATTTTCGTTTTTGTTATTCTTTTATTTTTAATATTATTATTCGATTTATATATTCATAACATATCAGTTTTTAAAAGAAGAATTAGTTCTTTTTAATCATTTTAATTACAATAAATATAATAATTATAATAATATATTTATGTGTAAACATATAATCATAAAAATATACGCATAAAAACAAGTTATATAAAGAATCAAATTCAAATACGAAAAATTCTGAAATGTAACTTCATTTGATTCCCTATTAATTTTGTTCGCTATCTGCAACTTCAGCTGTACTTATAAACACATTTCTAGCATGTAGGAAATTCAAATGCGTTCTTTTCATTTCATTCTGTATAGTGTGTCCTATTCGTTTAGAATGTTATTATACGCGACCTTTTGCAACATTTTGAGCGAAATCGGCAACACAATATAACGTGTTCCCTTTATTAAATGTAAAAAAGAAGGAAATAGTAAAAATATTATTAGAATGTCGATATAATGACTAGATTATAACTTTGATCTACCTATGTATACATTTAGCCATGGATACGATTTACATAGATTTGTACATTGTCTACAATTTTATTTCCGCATTATTTTTTTAAATTGATTTTTTTCTTTACACTACCTTTTATTACTTTGTTTATCTGAATATTCACACTTTTTCTTACTACATTATTATTATTATTTTCTCCGTTACATTTCACTTGCAATTGTTATTGTTTATTACTAGCATTCGCATATCCTTTTCCTTTTGTTTATTAGTAAATTCGTTTTAATTTTTTTAACATCAACATCAAATAATTTTAAACTTCAACATATATGTTCTTGAAGTTTTTAATAGTACGTTGAATAGTTATTTCTAAAACAATACTACATATTTAAATCTCGTTTCATTTGTAAAAGAATGTTTTCTAATCTAAATAATTAGTAAAATTATTGAATTATTATAATTTATAAATAAAGTTCTATTTAACATAAAGTATGTTAAACAATTTTTCTTTATTTAAATCTAATTCCTTCTCTAATGATTTTTGTTTAGAGTTCTCAAGCACAAAAACTTCCTTTGCAAATTTAAGTACTCCTCAAACTATTTTATAATTTTGTTACTTATTTCCTTGTACAACAACTCCAATGATATAGTTAAAAATAACTCGTCAGAATGTGAGCAGAATTTATTAGTTAAGGCTCGGATTTTGCCCAATATCCCATTGAACTTCGATTCTGGGCCATTTTGTTTGAAGTACTGTTAACATAGGATTGCTTTCCATAATACCCTTGATAGTGCACTCCAGTAACACGGCTTGACCTTTATGATATTTTACTTTATTTTCTGGATTGCTGTGTTGGAGACTATTGTGATGGTACAGTGGAAATGTATCTGGACAAGTTCGTGGTTCTTCAGGAAAGAACTCGTCCATAAAGTTAGTACGTAGAATAATTCCCAAATTTTCAGTATCCAATTTTTTCTGCATTACGTTGACACTGTAATAAAAATATATATGTTATAACACAATTTGATATATGTATAATGTAAAATATATATTTTGTACTTACTAATCTGTGTCTGTAACTAGTCCAAGTTCAGCGAGAACATCTTGTAATAAATTGGCAGGGATAAAATCATTTCCTTCAGGATCGAATTTTCTAAAAATTCTTTTCGCTTGGTCTGCAGGTGTTTCAGGGCTCACAAGCCTTTTTTCAGTAGAAAATAGCACAGTCAAATGAGTTTCTGAACCCAATACCCAAATAGGATACGATGGAGATTTTAAGAAAGTTCCAACTTCACAGTAACACAAATATTCAAGAAGTGCAAGGAATCCTATAGGATTTTGTTTATCTATCCCACGCAACTCTGAAATTTGTAAATTATTTCAATATTAATAATATAGACAGTTTATAATGTTAAATAACACATTAGAGGAGTAAGATACTTCATGCTTCTGTCCTTGATTAAAGGGAAAGGAGAGTTCACAAACAAAATTTACACATATCACACTATTTGCTAGCAAATAAGTATTAATATATTTGCTATATAATCAACTTTGACATTTTGCAGTCGATAACAGCAACAAAAGTATTTTATCACAATTAACATGTATTAGTTAAGTAATGCTCCTTGTTAGATAATATTAATTATTTATTAAATATATTACAATGGCATAGAATATAAGAATAGCTTACTCAGTCCTCCAACATCTTGATCATGATCCCATACATGGCTAACTGCTCTTCCTGTGAGCATCAAATTTATAAGACTTTGATTCCCATAACCATATGTTGAATCAATCATTGATTCTAAGGGATCCGACATTTCTGAACGAATTTCAGTGACACCTTTTGTAACAATTACACTATAAAGAAGCAATAAGATACCATATCTATCTTTTAACATCTCTAACCTTTCTAAAAAAAATTCTTCTACATGTTCAGAAGTATTTGTTGTAAATAACCTAAAATAAAATATTCGTTTTTATAATAAAAACCGGATTTTTAATCTAAATATAATAAAAATGAATTTTAAAATGTTTTTAATTGAATTACTTTAAATTCAATAATAACATATCATAGCACATTCGTGAAAATGATTTCCTGAAAACTGTACTTTATTCAATTGTGCTGTTCTTGTAAGCCAATATGTATGTAAGTATATTTTAATTTATTCTTAAAGTTATTCTTAAAACCATTATCATAATTCATAACAAATTTCCTTACCTCAATTGAGAATGGAAGAGGTCAGAATCTATGGCTCTGCATTCTTCATTCATATCCATCAGTAATATCTTTTTATTTGTTTCTCGATTTTCATTATTTGCCACGCTTATTTCTTCTTCACGATTTTCAATTTCTGGTATTTTTTCCACCCATTTGGCTTTTCTTCCATTATCTTCATTCGAAAATTTACAATCCATAAATACAATACAAAACTTTGGAACTTTCTCCCCAGCTGCTTGCTTTAAAATTTCTATAGAAGCTCGTACAAGGAGCTGGTAACATGTATCCAAATTGATATTTTTCCATGTTGAAACATCAGTCTCAGAGAGTAATTCTTTTAAAATAAAAGCTTGGACAGGAGCTATTACTGCACAAGGACCACCTTCTGTTTGTATCAATGCTGTTGGCTCATCAGGACTGAAGTAAAATCCTGAAGCAATGGGAAGTGTGTATTATACTAAGTAATAAATTATATACAATCAATTAAGGACGTTGATTAAACTTATTTATTATTTTACTTTTGGTGATAATAATTATGATTAATTTAATGTAAATAACCCAATCTCTATTATTAAACCCTTTATTTTAAAAAAAACATTTAGGAACATAAAATTACCTTGAGCCCATCGTTTAAAAACATCTTTTTTAACAGTATTGCCCCAGAGTAATGTTTTGATGGAATGTACAAATTCGTCATCGCAGTGAACAACATTTTCAGCCATTATCCACGTTGTTATTTATTTTATTTTTTTTTTAATTATTAGAACATTAAGCGACGTTACACAAACACAAATTATTTGGACGTAATCATAATATTCTTTTGTATCTCTGTCAAATCGAATTAGTTTGTTACAATTTCCAACGATTACAATTGTATCATATAACCTATATCATGAAAGAAACAATCATCCAGTACTTCGCCATTTTAGACATTGCATAGTTAATAAATACACGAGACATGTGAAACCTACTTTTCATATTTATTAGTAAAATCTTATTTTCATGATAAATTTTCTTGCCTCAACTGTTAATATCTCATGAATATGTATTTATATATAACATATATATTGAGCATTTCAATTAATCAACTATACGCTGGCAGAAAATTATAAAATATAAACCTTTTGCTGAAGAACACGAAATGAATATATATTATATTTTACACCTGAAAATTTAAAAAATGTATTTTTAGTTTCTTTGTTTAATATAGGCAGGTATTTTAATTATTTCGAAATTTCATGTATTATTCTATATACCGGATGGTACAGCTAGATGGAATCTTGCATTATTTATTGTTGTATAAAAAAATTCTCGAGATTCTCAGGATTCGGTGTAATACTAACATACTGAAAGAAAAATAAAAGTTGAACAAACTATTTTTCTCAAATTAAATAATATGTCTTATACTGAAAGAATAATAAACGAACAAACAAATTTAAACTCAAACTTATTTATAAGACCATTTTTAAGTTTGCTTTTTTTTACGAGATTTGTCATCACCATAAGAAATATTTAAAAAATTTATGTATATAAGATCATTTTAAAGTTCATTTCATAAATATATTTCCAGCGCCATTGTGTACGTAATGTGAATTACAAATTTCGAATCTTTCAGCTTTGCAGCGAACAGTTTAAATAGTACAGTTGTATGAAGGTTTGATATATCTAAACAGATATAAGTAGGTTAGCTTCCGCATTAAATTATCTTGTGTTCTATAATTTATTTTGGCATTCTTAGAGTGAGAGAATGCGAACAGAATAATATAAAGTAAATATAAAGGTTAAAACTGAAAAAACATCTATATAAAGAAGTATCACTAAAGGTTATGTGCATAAAGATTAAACTCTGTTAGTACAATCTCTATTTGAAAGGAAAATAGTATTGTCAACATAAAATTTTTCAATATATTTCTCTATATATAATTATTCAAAATTTATTCAATAAATATAAAACATGTTTACTAATAAGGTTAGATTTATTATAAGACAAAGCGCTTCGTGTAACTATATTAACAAAACGTATAACCTTTTAATAATTGGTAACACTAATAATTCTGAAAAATGTTCAGTTCGAAACAATTTTACATACTTTTCACGCGAAAGTGAGAAGATCAAGAAAAGCTATCGATTTTTATACATCATCCCCTGTTTTGTCACCAGCCTTATTGCCTGGAAGAGGTAAGA